AAATAGCCCCTGGAGCCTCGGACTGCTGCTGCTATCCCGGTGGGGGGGGAGGGGGCACTTACCTTACAGGGTGGGCTGGGGCTGGCTCTGACTCCCTCAGCCCCGCCCCTTCTGCCCTAGGCTCCGCCCCTTCCGGGGGCCAGAGCTGGCCCCAACTTACAGGTAAGTCACTGGACTTACTTTCACCCCTGCCAGAGCCCCTGTTATACTAGGCAATTTATAGCCAGAGAGGCAGACTCGTCCCCCCCTCCTCCCGCCCTCAGCCCCGCAAAGAGCTCACAATGGAAAATACCTTGAGGGCAGTCATTTTAACCATGCACTTACCAGCATGCAAGAATCTCCCAGCACTTTGCAAACAGTCACTAATGAAACCTCACCACTCTCTCATCAGGGAGCCCCTCCCCCTGTTTTACAGATGGGAAACTGAGGCACAGATCGATTGTGTGACTTGCACAAGGCCAGAGAGCGAATGAATGTTTATAGCGTTGCACTCCAGGCAGTCTACTGAGCGAAGATGGAAAGGATAGCATGGATGAACAATACCCTTAGTGATTTTGGATGCAGGCGACAGGGAGAGGAGTATGTGATGAGCACAAACATTTAACACCATCATGGAAGAAAGAAGCTACCTCTGGTGACACAGCCATGTATTACATGTCACCATGGCAGGGGTCACTGGGTGGTGAACTGACAAGGTTTTTCTAAGCATGCAAGCAGTCTTGGAAGAAATGCTGCATCGCTGTTAGTTTTGTGATGTACGTTCTATTTTGGGGAGCTGTGGCAAATGGCACAGGAGTTTGCGCTGTTTAACCAGAGTTAATTCTTGTGGCAGAGCTGTCCCTTGGGCACCGGGCATTGGAGTTTGGGCCATGATTGCAGAGAGGGGACTGCCTGCATGCTGCATGGGACCACCTCTCTTCCAGGACGGCTGTGTGAAGTGTAAACAAACAAGCTGTACTAGGAATACAGCCAGACTCCGCCCCATCATTTCTCCTCTGATGAAAAGCTGACCTGCAAGACCCCAACATTTGTTACTGCTGGGCAGAGGGCAACAACATACAGAAGCAGCTACATTCACCATGAGAACTGTGACACAACAGCTGCTCTGAACTCACTCAACAATTGAACTATGAATCCTCTGTTCCAAAAGCATCCCTTCTCTACCACCACCACGTGAACTACAGATGAATCTCTTAGCAGTAGTGAGGCTATGACACACAGTTGAGCAGTGCTGATTGCAGCCAGTAGATTGCAGTGTTGCACAGGCACACTAGAGAGAACATATGAACTTTGAGCTGTTCGTTATAGGCTTGTCTTCTCTACAGTCTGTAATCATGTTTAACACACGTTAACGAGGCACAAGACTGGTGGGGCAGAGGGGTAAGGAGACCCAGCTGCTATTCCCAGCTCTTCCATTGACTTCCTACGGGAGCAACTCACAAACCTGCTGTGTGCCTCAGGTTCCCCATCTGTACAATGAGGACAGGGCCTAACTCATTGTGGGTCGGGGGTGGGAGCAAAGCTTAATTCATTCATGTCTGTAGGGCTCTGTGAGTCCTGAGAGAGAAGGCAGCATAGGGGAGTGAGCTGCTATTATTCCTGCCCCGTGTCATCTCATGAATCCCTGTACCCCTCTTAGCTGCACTCAGAATGAACCCTCTTAACCCCAACCAAAGCCTGACAAGGTGGAGCGAGATCCTTGTGACAGCTCCCATATCTGCCTGGGCTGGACTCTTTGCATGTAGCAAGGGAGCAGGTTCATAGGGAGAGCACCCCTATGTTCAGATGTCACCTGCGCTGAACGCACCAGCACTGCCTTGGGCTGGAGAGCTCAGGAGAACAGCTCTGTCCTCCCTGCATGGTGGCCTGGTCACAGGTCCAGGTTGATGAAGATGCTACGGCCTTAGCTAACAGAGCTGGCTGCTTTCTCGTGAGGTCCCAGGTTTGATGCCCACCGCCGACAACCCAACCGGGAGCGCAGGGGCTACACACACAGCTTCTCTGCTCTCCACTGCAGCTGAGGACCACGCCAGCTCGGTCTTCCCAGCATCACATCCCAAGGGCCTTGGGAATAGGCTAAGCTGAGTGGAACTGGACCTCCTGTTCCCACCAAACCTGCCCCACTGGGTCCCAGCCAAATCACCTGATCACCGTATCTTATCCCCTTCTCTCCCCGCAAGTGAGTGAAGGCCCCCAGGGCCAGGCTGAGTGGAGAATGTGACCACAGGGAGGTGAGAGCTGCCCCAAGGAACATGCTGCCCAGTGTTATTTTGCTTTGGTAGTTCATATTCACACCTGGATTTCCAGGCATCTTTGCGCCTCTGGGAGAGATTCACTGCTGGACAGGGGGCCAAGGCATCAGCCAGATGTGAGCAGAGCTTTGGCCTCGTGCTGGCCCTGTGCCCAGGGGCTGAATCTCCCATCCTCTGTAAGTAAAGAGGATCCCATGCAGAAGCAGCCACTGGACTCCTACAAGCTGAAATCCAGGTTTTCTTGCATCCCGGATTGGGCCAGGGCAGGGTGAATCTCCCCAGCACACACGGGAAGGAAAATTACGTAACAGCCCCAGCGCTTCTCAGGTGCATTGGAGGCTGAAACTACCAGGGAAAGAGCTAAAGTACAATTTACAATAGCAAATGGCCAAAGGCCCGGATCCAGCTTGCTCCCAGATCTGTTCTCTCCTCACAAGCAGATTCAGCTCAGGGAGGCGGAGGAGACGCACCAAACCTGGATGCAACCCCACATGCCTGGGGATCTGGATTCTGCCCTCCCCCTGTGACATCGGCCCTGGGGCTAGCGGCCTGGCTGCCATTGGGATGCTGCTCAGTAACCGGTATGTTAGAGTAGGAGAGATGCCTCCAAACAGAGAGAAAACCCAGGGGGTTTACGCCAGGCCTCGGTGAATGAAGGAAATTAACCAAAAAATAACTCCAGTGATGCCTCAGCCAGCGGAGAATTCATAGCCCTGAAACAGCTGCGGATGCACTGGGCCAGCTCCCCAGCTGGAGTAAACAGGATTTCACAGGGCACAACACTGAGGATTTGGCTTGAACTCTGTCTACTCTGACAAACGATCCAGATCCCATATGCAGAGTAGTGAACCAAGGTTTGCCCCAATGCCACCCACCCATGTCGGGCTGCGGACTCTGCCCCACCAGCCATTCCCGATTCCCTGAAGAACGAGCTGGTGTCACTTACCCCAGGTAACGTCTTCTGCTCATGCAGCGCACTCTGGGCTTTCAGAGCAGAGTCCCGGGCACAGTATGTGAGGAAGGCACAGCCTGAGGAGGGGAGAGAAAGAAGTTATTGCACAGATGCCGAGCCAGAGCTCCTGCCCAGACGGCAAACCCAGCACGGAGTCGACATGGCACCTCTCCCCAGCTGCAGCGAAGGGCACATGGCAGCACGGAGAGGGGCGACTAATGTACGCAGGCAGGTGTTCCATCCATCCAACCATAGCTAGTCCTCAGGGAAACCCCAGCCAGGCAGACTGCAGATTCCCACTGCTCTGCAATGACCCTGGACAATGGCCTCTCCTGAGCACATCCGCCCTGGTGCATCTCCTGAGCCCCTTTCGTGCCCCGAAGAGCTAGCACTGCCCTCTTCTGGCTCAGTCTTTATCACCCCAGTTAACCAGCAGAGTCCCGCTCTGCGCTCAGCTCCCCCTCTGCAGCGTCCACTGACGCTGCCCGGGGAGTCGAGGGCAGGACTGGGCAGCAGGATCTCACCCTGGGGATGTTGCAGGAGCCACACAGAGCCCGGCTTGGTCCTGCCACGCCCTGGAGAGCGCACTGGGTTGGGGCGCAGCAAACAAATCTCTTTACTGGTCCGCTGAGCATGGGCAGTGCTGGAACAGGGAAAATGGCCCCCAGTGGCTACCCAGAGCCAGAAAACCCAGGTACTGCTCATGGTATAAATGCCAAGCGAGAGAGACCGAGATCATGCACCAGCATGGCCTGGACCGCCTGTACTCCAAAGTGTCCCCAAGAGGGGGCTTGGGGCCCGTTCTTCCTTGCCCTGCCCCTAGCATCCTTATGTCAGTGCAAGGCATGTGGAAATGGTCCCCATTCAGATTGCATAGTGCTCTGTGCCCACTTTGTCCTGAGATCAGTCAGGGCACGAGGGGCAGGGCAAGGGCGGGATCTGGAACCAGCTGTTTAGGAGATGTAAATAGGTGCCTTCTAAAGTGGAGAGACAGGAGATCCAGCAGCCATGCTATATGTGAGATGAGAGAGAGACGGGAAACTAATGGGCCGGCTGAGCCTGGCTGTGAGCTGCATGAGTGATTGTGTTGCCAGGACAGGGGGCACTTTGACAACTCTGGAGCCTGTGGGGGACAGTGTGGGGATTGGGAAGCCAGGGGGGCTGATTCTGATCATGCTGCTATTGCAGCAGGGTAACTGCACTGAGATCAGCGACGCCCTCGGCTTTCCACCCGCGTGACGGAGAGCGGGATCGGTATGTGCTGGCCAGGGCCGGGCTGCCCTGTATTCACATCCTGGCCTCTCGCTTTAGTATGGGCTTCAGCCAAACCCAAACTCCTGGGAAATGGCCACTTTTCAGCCCGTCCCCATGGGCTGATCTCATGAGCTCCAAACAGGTCCCTCCGGACAAAACTGGTCTGGATTCACCGGGTTCTGGGACACGCTCATGTTTGCAGAGTGTTAGTGGAGCACTCAGTGCTCAGCACTACACGGAGCAAAGAAGGACCATGGGCTCTGCCCGCTTGGAGCTTAGCATCCCCACTGGCAGAGAAAATGGCACGGCACAGAGGACCCGGGCAAGCCAAGGGTCCGCGAGTCTTGACACGGGACAGTGCACGGTTGGGGTTCTTGTCAATCAGGATACCCAATGATGCACTATCGGAATTGGAACCAGGGATCCCACCCAGATGGCCTCCTTGGGTGGGGGAATCGATTCACTTGCTCCCCCATTTAAACTAACCCTCTTGCTCAGATCCAGAGTCCAGGGGGGAAGCAACAGCGCTAAGCAAACTGTTATGGAGCCGCCGCTTGCAGCAGACGCTTATACTCTGTCCCTGAAATCTGCCTAGCAGGTGTAAATCAGTGTTCGCCTGTCAATGTAACAGCACCATGCCAACGTGCACCTGCTGCGAATCCAGCCCTGTGTACACTGAGCAACTTGCAACATGTGTCCTCAGAAAGTAATGCTGTCCACATCTGCCTCCTATGTGCAAACACCCGCGTCGGCTGGCTGCTGTCACCACCCAAACACCCGGCCTCCATGCTCATGCACCCTTGCTCCCTACCTCCCGAGCCACAGCATCTGATCCACACAGCCTCCCCCCGAAGCGTCCACACCCTCTGTCCCCCAGGTCACACAACCTGCCCCTATGCAGCCCCCACACAGCACCCCTAGCTCTGCAGGGTCCTTCCACCAACTGTGCACCCCATCCCTGTAGCCACGCCCTCTGGCCATAACCACGCCCCTGGAACTCCCCAGACATCCCCACTCGCACAGGCAGTTGGTTTCACTAGCTGGGCTCTCCAAACCCTGGAGGTGAGCCCACCGTGACTGACCAGAGAGAGCAGAATGCTGTGGGAGGGAGGGCTCCAGAGAGCGGGCAGTGACCTGGCCACCTGCAGACTTCCAAGGGTTGGAGGCCTAACAAGGGTGAGTCCTGCGCTCCTCGCCAGGGAGGGGTCAGCAAGGGCCCTCGTTAGGGGGCACCAAAGAGGCTCTGACATGTCTGTCCCTCATGCCGGGTCTCTTATCATCACCTTCACTTGTCAGGGCCACATGCACGTGGCCCCTAGTGAAGCCAATGGGGTGGGCGGGTGTTTATTCAAGTCCCATCTCTGCCATTGGCCCGCTGGATGACTTGGGGCACATCAATTCCCTGCTCCATGCCTCAGTTTCCCCACCTATCAAATGGGGGTACTGATGCCGCCCTCCTTGGTGAAGTGCTGGGGATTGCTGCAGCAAAGCACTGCCTGCTGTTCCTGTTATTACTAGGGAGTCAGTCCAGTCGTTCCTACCACCCATGGGCAGAGGAGCAGTCTCACCGCATACTAACACGATGCCACAACTACCACTACATTGGCACCATCACTGGCATTGCCCCTGGGGAAGCCTGGGGCTGGATGGGCCATGGAGACTGACTGTAAGCCCTGGAGAATTGATACTGGGATTTGGCTGTCCACCCAGAGGGGCCCAGTGCTTGGCACCGGCTCCCCTGGCATGGAGACCAAAGATACAGGCCTCACCTGTCCATGGGATTGTGTCTAAATCATAAATGAAGTGATGTGGATTTGGCCACTGTGCAAGGACAGTGCTGGGTCAGGGGGAGGGGAGACGGGCTTGGATTTAAGGCAATCGGAGTGCATTAGCCAGGTCTGGTTAATTGAAATCAACGAGCAGAGCCAAACACACCGGGATTAAAGCAAATCCCTCCAGATTAACAAATCAGCAGCACTAGGCAGACAATGTGGGGAGATGGGGATCGGACCAAGCTGTGGGGAGCGGGCTGCCCTGAGACAAGGCCCTCCTTTGAGCACAGCCCCACCCTCGTGCCATTACCCCCACCTGCACTTGGGGGTCACCCAAGTATGTCTCCCATATCCCCAAGAGCAGCCCCAGTCTCCCTCCCCTTGGGCGATGCAGCAGGCATACCCTCAGTACCCAAGGAGGCAGAGGGCACCCGCAGTATTTACCCCCATAATTGGGTGTGTATCTGCCTGGGGCTGGGCTCTTCTTGTGCTGCTGGGGTGGGGCTGGCTGGGTCCCCAGAAAAGTACGGCTGGGAGTTAACACTCCCTTGAGATGCCTGGGGCTCTCAGAGCTATTATCTCAGACTCTCTGCAAACGCAGGTGAAATTGTTGCACCCAGGTCATGTTTTCAAGCTTTTCTTCCCAGCCAGGTGGCCCAGAATCTTCCTATTGGTTTTTAATGAAAGCTGATTTCCTCACATGGCTCTGGGAGCTGGCCCCATGCAATGGCCTATAATGCCCACGTCAGACCAGGGACAGGCTGTTCAGTGCCGCTGGGCGATATGACGGGGTGTGGGGCAGACTACAGGGCACTCTCCCTGCCTGGATCTGGCCCAGACTGTTAGACCCAAAGTGGGTGCCTCCTCCCCAGTTGCCCCCGGCACAAACACTCTTCCCCCAGACAGAGGCTACCTTTCAGTCATTTAGTAGGTCAAAGACTTCAGCCACTGAGGGGTTAGTGGACTAAGAGTCCATGAGGAACTGCTCTCCCTGCGATCAGCTGTGGAAGCAGCGGTAAGCACTGATCTCAAAGAGCATGACTGACTGCTCTTCATCCAGTCGGGGTTTGGACAGTGAGGGTGGGTCCAACTCACCCCCGATGTAATGCCAATGACTACACCAGGGATAAATCTGTCCCCTTATTTTACAAGCATTTCTCACCTTTCGTCCCCACACACCCTATCCAGGGATCACTTCACCCTCTCCTGAAATGCAGCCCCTTCTGGGGCCAGTCAGGACAGCTGTTTCATAGAATCATAGAATATCAGGGTTGGAGGGGACCTCAGAAGGTCATCTAATCCAACCCCTGCTCAAAGCAAGACCAATCCCCAACTAATTTGTCAAGCCTGATCTTAAAATCCTCTAAGGAAGGAGATTCCACCACCTCCCTAGGTAACCTATTCCAGTGCTTCACCACCCTCCTAGTGAAAAAGTTTTGCCTAATATCCAACCTAAACCTCCCCCACTGCAACTTGAGACCATTGCTCCTTGTTCTGTCATCTGGTACCACTGAGAACAGTCTAGATCCATCCTCTTTGGAACCCCCTTTCAGGCAGTTGAAAGCAGCTATCAAATCCTCCTCATTCTTCTCTTCTGCAGACTAACGGAGCACAGCAACACTGCCCCATCAGGTTTACCAAGGGTGATCCAATCTCCACCTGAAATTGCCGTGGGGAATGTGGGAAGGTGGGCTTTGGCCAGGACCCCAGGGTTCAGCCCCCTGACCCTGTGAAAAGGGCCTCGGGATGATCTCTGATGGCCAGGAATGCTCAGGACCTCACTTTTACATGTCCTAGCATCTGCACCAGCATGGTGCTTCTATGAGGCCAGGAAGCCTCCTAGAAAAGAGGCTTCACTGGACATCTGGTACCCTCTGCTCCTCCCTAGAGGAACTGATAATGCCCACTTGCAATGATGCCCCTGCCTGGGTCCTCTGGCCAAAGGACAAAGGAATCTAGATCAGGAGCCCTCACGGATTGAGCTAAAGGCCCAGGCTGGAACAGACTCTGAAATCTGGATAGCAACTGGACAGGTCCAAAGACCAACCCTG